TTTTTCTCTTTTTTGCAGGGTCCGAGCTCCGTCCCTCCCCTAGAATCGAATGCCATGCGCATCAAGACACTCTCTTTGGTGGGGTTCAAATCCTACGGGTCCCCGACCACCCTCCCGCTTTTCCATCGGGACTGCACTGTCATCGCCGGCTCGAACGGCTCCGGCAAGTCCAACCTTCTCGACGCCATCATCTTCGCGCTGGGCAGCACCGATGCAAATCCGCGGCAGCTCATCTACAATGAAGGCCGAGCTAGGATTGCCGAAGCCTACGTTTCCATCCTCTTTGACAATACGGAAGTGACTTGGCGTCCGCTGGGCTACGAGCACCTCTCCGAGATTGCCGTGACGCGGAAAGTGCGTCATGTTCTTGTTCTTGCAAATTTGCTCTCCTTCAGAGCCACTTGACCTCCTGCTCCTTGCCTCCTAGGCATTTAGATGGACTGGTAGTGGCTTTCCCACGATTACGCGGGATCTGGATTAATCATTTAGTTGAAATTCGCGAGTGAGATGTCCTTGTTACACGGTTAGTGTCCTGGGGAACTTCGTTGGGCTAACTAAAGATTTGAGCCGGTGCCCTGGGGAGTTCTGGGGCGAATCCGACCGTGTCGAGCGTTTAGCTTTTCCTATTATCTGATTGCTCTTTCTATTTTGATCCAGAAAACAAAAGAAAAGCAACGGTCGATACGTCTTGCTGACCCATTTTGCTTTTATTGACGCTCTTTGAGAAATTCGACGTTTCGATTGTGCCCTTCCCGTTGCCTATACTTAAGATGAGTATCTACCAGACGTTTTAGCCAATAAGTTATCCTCTTCTGCAGATCACTCTCGACGGAAAGGATGAATATCTGATAAATGGAGACCGCGTCCCACCTAGTCTAGCCCACGACCTCTTTCGCTCAGTACTGCTCGACGTTAGCAGGCCGCACTTCCTCGTTAGGCAAGGCCGTGTCGCTACGGTACAAAATATGAAGCCTCACGAGATTTTGTCCATGCTTGTGGAGGCAGCAGATATCCCAATGGATGATATAGAGGCCGAATCAAAAGCGCTGGAAATGAAGCAGATCCAGATTGATGAGATTAATGAGCTTCTTCATCGACATACTTTGCCCACCTTGGACAAGTTATGGAAATAACGTGTGCAGTACACGCGATGGGAACTGGGGAAAGCAGAGTTGGAGCGAAGGTACGTTCGAGCCGAGGAGATAATGAAAAATGTGGCGAAAAATGTGGCGGTCTACCATGCGGAACGGATACAGGAAAGAATCTCTGAGCTAGATTACAATATACTGAATATGCGAGTGGAATCACAGGGACTGGAGAGGAAGATATCTGATTTAACTGCACAGAGGGATGCTAGTATGGGTAGGGACGTAAAGAAGATATCCGACAAAGTAAAAGAACTCCCGATCATCCATGTAGCTGCCCCACGCGACCACCACTGTAATCTCCTCAGCGTTTGCCCTTTCTTTTCTGTTCTTTCTTCTTTTTTGTGTTTCTGTTAGCGTTCATTCGCACGTCGCACATGGCCACGCGCTTTTTCAAAAAAAGAATGGGACCAAGTCCATCGCCTCCTCCCACGCGCTCCCCTCCCCTCCCCTCCCCTCCCCTTAGAGAGCGAGAAACGTCATCCTCTGGCTCTGTGGCGTTAGCGTTAGCGATCCCGCCTGGGCACTGCATAGGCGGCTAAATGCAGGCTGAAACCCAAAACTGACGACCATTTTCTGCCTGAACGTAGCATATCACGCGCGGAGGGATAATGTTGTCATTTCTCCCGTGGGCTTCCCGGCTGCAAGCCCAGGAATCGAATCGCCGTGAGATGGGAGACGTTTTTGCCGATTCATGTTATTGTTCTGAGGCTCGTCATGCGTTTTTGGGATTATTTCTTTTAATGCTGGCTCTGTTTTCCGATACGTGTCTGTCACAAGCGGTTCCTGGATCGGTGACGTGGGTAACGACATTCAGTCTCCGTTATATCCGCCCGCATGTGGGTTAGCAGAGTACATATCCGAAACAGAAATTGCTCTGTGAATGCGGGTTTTTCTTCTTCTTCTTTCCATGCATTACTGACTTCCCTCTCCTCCATTGCCTTTTCCTCCCGCAAAACCTCAAGCTTCTCTCGTACCTCATTTCTCAGGCGCCGCGCCCACACGTTCGGTCTTCGACTTCCTCTCTCTCTCTCTCTCTCTCTCTCTCTCTCTCTCTCTCTCTGGTTTCTTTTGTTGTCTCTGTCATTCTAATAATTTCCTCCGACTCTCTGTTCTTTTGTCTTTTTTTTTCTCTTTTTTGCAGGGTCCGAGCTCCGTCCCTCCCCTAGAATCGAACGCCATGCGCATCAAGACACTCTCTCTGGTGGGGTTCAAATCCTACGGGTCCCCGACCACCCTCCCGCTTTTCCATCGGGACTGCACTGTCATCGCCGGCCCGAACGGCTCCTGCAAGTCCAACCTTCTCGACGCCATCATCTTCGCGTTGGGCAGCACCGATGCGAATCTGTGGCAGCTCGTCTACAACGAAGGCCAAGCTAGGATTACCGAAGCCTCCGTTTCCATCCTCTTTGACAATACGGAAGCGACTTGGCGTCCGCTGGGCTACAAGCACCTCTCTGAGATTGCCGTGACGCGGCAGGTGCGTCATGTTCTTGTTCTTGCTAATTTGCTCTCCTTCAGAGCCACTTGACCTCCTGCTCCTTGCCTCCTAGGCATTTAGATGGACTGGTAGTGGCTTTCCCACGATTACGCGGGATCTGGATTAATCATTTAGTTGAAATTCGCGAGTGAGATGTCCTTGTTACACGGTTAGTGTCCTGGGGAACTTCGTTGGGCTAACTAAAGATTTGAGCCGGTGCCTCCAAATGGGGGATAACTAAACTGTGAGCTGCCCTGGGGAGTTCGGGGGCGAATCCGACCGTGTCGAGCGTTTAGCTTTTTCTATTATCTGGTTACTCTTTCTATTTTGATCCAGAAAACAAAAGAAAAGCAACGGTCGATACGTCTTGCTGACCCATTTTGCTTTTATTGACGCTCTTTGAGAAATTCGACGTTTCGATTGTGCCCCTTCCCGTTGCCTATACTTAAGATGAGTATCTACCGGACATTTGAGCCAATAAGTTATCCTCTTCTGAAGATCACTCTCGACGGAAAGGATGAATATATGATAAATGGGGACCGCGTCCCACCTAGTCTGGCCCACGACCTCTTTCGCTCAGTACTGCTCGACGTTAACAGGCCGCACTTCCTCGTTAGGCAAGGCCGTGTCGCTACGGTACAAAATATGAAGCCTCACGAGATTTTGTCCATGCTTGTGGAGGCAGCAGATATCCCAATGGATGATATAGAGGCCGAATCAAAAGCGCTGGAAATGAAGCAGATCCAGATTGATGAGATTAATGAGCTTCTTCACCGACATACTTTGCCCGCCTTGGACAAGTTATGGAAAGAACGTGTGCAGTACACGCGATGGGAACTGGGGAAAGCAGAGTTGGAGCGAAAGTACGTTGGAGCCTAGGAGATAAGGAAAAATGTGGCGGAAAATGTGGGGGTCTACCATGCGGAACGGATACAGGAAAGAATCTTTGAGCTATATTACAATATACTGAATATGCGAGTGGAATCACAGGGACTGGAGAGGAAGATATCTGATTTAACTGCACAGAGGGATGCCAATATGGGTAGGGACATAAAGGAGATATCCGACAAAGTAAAAGAACTCCCGATCATCCATGTAGCTGCCCCACGCGACCACCACTGTAATCTCCTCAGCGTTTGCCCTTTCTTTTCTGTTCTTTCTTCTTTTTTGTGTTTCTGTTAGCGTTCATTCGCACGGCGCACATGGCCACGCGCTTTTTCAAAAAACGAATGGGACCAAGTCCATCGCCTCCTCCCACGCGCTCCCCTCCCCTCCCCTCCCCTTAGAGAGCGAGAAACGTCATGCTCTGGCTTTGTTGCGTTAGCGTTAGCGAGCCCGCCTGGGCACTGCAGAGGCGGCTAAAGGCAGGCTGAAACCCAAAACTGACGACCATTTTCTGCCTGAACGTAGCATATCACCCATAGAGGGATAATGTTGTCATTTCACCCGTGGGCTTCCTGGCTGCAAGCCCAGGAACCGAATCGCCGGGAGACGGGAGACGTTTTTGCCGATTCATGTTGTTGTTCTGAGGCTCGTCCTGCCTTTTTGGGATTATTTCTTTTAATGCTGGCTCTGTTTTTCGAGACTTGTCTGTCACAAGCGGTTCCTGGGTGGGTGACGTGGGTAACGACATTCAGTCTCCGTTATATCCGCCCGCATGTGGGTTAGCAGAGTACATATCCGTAGCAGAAATTGCTCTGTGAATGCGGGTTTTTCTTCTTCTTCTTCCCATGCATTACTGACTTCCCTCTCCTCCATTGCCTTTTCCTCCCGCAAAACCTCACAGCTTCTCTCGTACCTCATTTCTCAGGCGCCGCGCCCACACGTTCGGTCTTCGACTTCCTCTCTCTCTCTCTCTCTGGTTTCTTTTGTTGTCTCTGTCATTCTAATAATTTCCTCCGTCTCTCTGTTCTTTTGTCTGTTTTTTCTCTTTTTTGCAGGGTCCGAGCTCCGTCCCTCCCCTAGAATCGAACGCCATGCGCATCAAGACACTCTCTCTGGTGGGGTTCAAATCCTACGGGTCCCCGACCACCCTCCCGCTTTTCCATCGGGACTGCACTGTCATCGCCGGCCCGAACGGCTCCGGCAAGTCCAACCTTCTCGACGCCATCATCTTCGCGCTGGGCAGCACCGATGCGAATCCGCGGCAGCTCGTCTACAACGAAGGCCGAGCTAGGATTACCGAAGCCTCCGTTTCCATCCTCTTTGACAATACGGAAGCGACTTGGTGTCCGCTGGGCTACGAGCACCTCTCCGAGATTGCCGTGATGCGGCAGGTGCGTCATGTTCTTGTTCTTGCAAATTTGCTCTCCTTCCAAATTATATTAGGTCCTGAGCACCGGTGGTACTTTTCCTTCTGATCCTAATCTTTTTGGAAAATAGATGATCACACTAGGAGGTGATGCGGAACTTGAACTGGTCGACTCTTTGGATTCCTTCCGTGAAGGTGTGGTCTTTAGCGTCAGGCCACCAAAGAAAAGCTGGAAGAATATCGCTAACTTATCCGGTGGGGAAAAGGTAACTTGAAAACACAGTTGTTCTGCCCCACTTATTTTGTGAAGCTTTACGTGTCGGTATGACAATTCCCCTTTTGAATCTTCAGACTCTCAGTTCATTAGCTCTTGTATTCGCCCTTCATCACTACAAACCTACTCTGCTATATGTGATGGACGAAATCGATGCTGCTCTAGGTACTCAGTGCTCATTCCAGAGTTCATTTCTTTTCTTGGCATGCTGTTTATTTTGCCCCCGTTCCAACCTTGGTCGTACGCGTTATAATTTGTCAGACTTCAAAAATGTTTCTATTGTGGGACACTATGTGAAAGATTGGACGAAGGATGCCCAGTTCATTATCATAAGGTACATTGGGTTGGAGACCGACTGAATATATTTATATGACAATGTTCTCCCAACTCACCATATTCATGTTTTATCTATGCTATGTGTAGCCTCAGAAACAACATGTTTGAGCTTGCGGATCGACTTGTAGGAATATACAAAACTGACAACTGCACTAAGAGCATTACAATCAATCCAGGGAGTTTTGCGGGGTGTGAAAATACTGCCCGATTTGTCGGTTAAGATATTTTGAGTAAGCACGATGCTCTCTTTCATGACTGCTTTTATCAACAAAGTTCTTGCTTTCTTGCGCAGCTTGCCATCCTCTCTGGCCTGTATTTTAAGGTGCTGACTTAGTTATAGTACAAGAATGGTTGTCTATAATGTAAGGGCTGAGGTTCAAGAATGGTTGTCTATCGCGTAATATGCATTGCTGTTAACAAGTGTTGTGTTTTCCTGCGTCATGGTTCCTACGAAATCTTCGCATCAGCTGATTACCGATGGAGATGCCATCTTTTTACGCCTCCATTTGCCTGGTTGCTAATCTCTCAATAGATTGTTTCGATTTTGGGTTTTGCCAGTTTTCTTTTCTTTTCTTTTTCCGGGAATCGGAAATTGAAATGCCAATTTTTACAAAGTTAATGATGTGAGATTTCGGGATAAATTGAGAGGGTTGGCGTATTTGTAGTGGATGAGTGGAGGGCTTATGTAAGGTTTGAAGCCGAGGGTTATGGTTCGCTTAAATTTTGTCCTAGTTGATGCACAGCCCCAAATTACCAAGCAAAATAACTCAAAACACATGGAGAGATGTGAACCCAATCCAGGGACCGAGGAAGTATACAAGAGCATTTAAACACAATCCCGCGATGTATTCTCATGAACCCTTATGCTATCCTGCCTATATATCTAAATAAGAGTATGCATCATATAAAACCAAAGATTTGAACAAGAAGGAAAACTCGTACTTAATTTAACCGAAGAGTCTCCTAGGCGGTTTGTTTCTCGCCTTCGTTCTCGTGTTGTTTTCCGAATGTGCTAATTGTGTAAGCGTGGTAGTTAACCAATTCTCTGCGTTCGATAATGGAAAGAGCACAGAGATCTGAGCTGCACCCCTCCAACTGAGACTTCCTGGTGCAGGAATTGCGGTATTGTCTTTCAAGAAAGAAGATGATGATCGGTCCCTAAGAGCTTGTGTGGATCGTGGCCGTTCTCTTTCTTGTCGTTTCCCAGCCATATCGACTCTTGACTTACCTAACTTCTCCTTTTTTCGACGCGGTTGATTCAAATTCTACCCCCATATCGTATGTTGATATGTCTCTATTATTCTGGTCTCTTGTAAATGAACTTCCTGGAAAAGATAATCTTGATTTGGAGTGTTGGACATTACTGGGGCAGGCTATGAATTTATGCTTTCTTCCTCGCTTCCTCCAAATAGGGGTATGTCGCTTCATTTGTGCGTGCATGCCGGAGAGAGAGATTCGGGCGAATAAGATCTGGAAGTTAGGTGAGTGGTTAGTGGTTACTGAGGTCGAAATACCATTGACTTATCCACTGTGTGGGTGAAGACGAAGAGACGAGTCTCATGACGTATAACCCTCCGCGTCCTTTGCATGCCTGATCTACACTGTACTTTCTCTTCCACGAGAAAATTCTGCCGAAGATACAAAGAAGGAACAACGAAATAGCACCGACTGATTAGTTCGATCCTGGGGCTACTTTAAGCAGAAAGAAGTCGGGATTCGACCAAAATCAAATAAGGTCAACGTAACTGTCTTCTGTTAAAAACAGTCCATATTACAGTACAGTTTGTTCTGAGGAGTGAATAGCGGTTAGCATACCCTGATGAACGGATCCGACCAATAAACATGGCCCCGCAATAAGTGAAAGCAGACCACTATGGACTTCTCAGAAAATCCACGCTCCAGCTTTTTCTTCTGCTCGTCCTTTCGATGCTAATGAATCCGGCAGCAGAGCCAGTATTCACACACTGGCTATAGTTTATATTAAAATACGCCAGGGTTTAGACATAGATCCGGTTGCGTAAACCTTGTTCACAACGACAACGATCACATTTTGGAGCCAAGCCTAGCATATGTTTAATATGAAAATTCACTAGGATCCCATCATGGGGTCATGATTGACACTTGTTCACAACGACAACATCCCTACCCCTAGGCCCCCCCACGAGAAGGTGGGGAATCGAACTCCCCACCTCTCCCTTCCCGAGTAGGAAGGGTGGCCACCGGGACAAACCCCGGTGGTTAAAGAAGAAGGTTTCTTTACGGACGAGTCTTCGATTTTGAATTCGGTTTTTGGTAGCTTCCGTTCGCCCCTTTTGGACTCAGAACCGGTAGGCTATGGTATTTTGGCAGATAAACTGGAAGAAGACAATGACGGGGATCGGCATTCACCTTTGGCGTGCAGCACTCATGTTCTGCCCTTGTCAGTGCTTATAGAAGTCGCCGATGACTAGAGGTGTCAAAATCGAGGCCGATCCTTTCTACCGGACGTACACCGAGCGCCGAAAGGAACTGCGGAATCGGTATGTTTTCTCATTATCACATTGCATTAGAGTCGTATTCCCCCATGTGATGCAATCTTTCCTTGTTCCGCATACCATGCGAAGCAGAAATTAAACTCTTAAAGGATATCATATTGGACTGAAAGAAATACGTTGACGATAAAGTGGCTTTTCATATGCGCTGGCAAGCTAGCTAGAACGAGGCTCGGAAATACTGCTCATTCAAGATCAACACCACAGTTCTGATTGACGAGCAAGACAAAGGGTAGCTTAATTTTCCCTTTTTGTCCGATATTGACTATTGACTAAGTATAGTGAAATGGGTGTTATGCCGCAGGTGCAGTGCTACAAAAGGAACTGGGGACTGCCGGTTCGCCGTTGAAGAGCATTGAGCCAGCCAATTTCACCATCCTTCAATTCTCACTGACAAAACTCTAGAAGCAGAGAGACTCTTGAGAAGCTTACGAGGTGACTTTGAGCCGGTCTATGTGGCTCCAGCATGCTTGTCACGGGAGGCTCTCCATCACCGGTACCAGAAGGCCCAAGCCGCAATCTGGTGGGTGAATTCCAAAAACTCCGAGTCCTATTCGAAAGATCCTTGGAAGGTAGAGAGGGAAGGGTGAGGGAAAGAGATACCGGAAATATGTCCGACCAAGGTTTTCTCCCAAGAGTCTCCTCGAAAGTCCCTGAATCGACAGGTACGTAGCTACGAATTTAACTGATAAAAATATTGAATGACAATAACCATGACATAATGCATCGTCCAGGCAAAGCTTATCCATGACAAGACGGACGACGTAATTCTCTTGAATTGCTCGGGAAGTTGCATCTTGCCTGTAGATACACTTCGCATTTCGGTTTTCAGGAGAAGTGGAAGCCGACACTCTAACTAGCAGGCTCATTTTCCATCCCCAAATTGAGGGGGTCCATTTAATTATCTCACTCCTAATCTGGCGGAGTTCTTTTAAGAATGATATCTCAGTCTTCATCTGACCTTCTTCCAAAAACACCCATGCGTGTTTATCCTTTTGGCACCGATAATTGAAAAGAATCCACGGACTGGGAGGCATTCCTTACGTGGAAGTGCGGTATGTGAACTTAATGGGAATTCGTCCCATGCCTGTTTCTTCGCGTTTTGTTTATCGATTGATAAAAAGGCGATGAATCTTTCCATGGGCAAAATGGTGAATGTAAAAGAAGGTTCAACGTCGTATCCATATCTCAATATCTACTTCTTAACGTGCAACGGCACCTCTTGCTGCAAATGACTCTTGTGCTTTGTACATTGCATTAGAGTCGTATTCCCCCGTGTGATGCAATCTTTCCTTGTTCCGCATACCATGCGAAGCAGAAATTAAACTCTTAAAGGATATCATATTGGACTGAAAGAAATACGTTGACGATAAAGTGGCTTTTCATATGCGCTGGCAAGCTAGCTAGAACGAGGATCGGAAATACTGCTCATTCAAGATCAACACCACAGTTCTGATTGATGAGCAAGACAAAGGGTAGCTTAATTTTCCCTTTTTGTCCGATATTGACTATTGACTAAGTATAGTGAAATGGGTGTTATGCCGCAGGTGCAGTGCTACAAAAGGAATTGGGGACCGCCGGTTCGCCGTTGAAGAGCATTGAGCCAGCCAATTTCACCATCCTTCAATTCTCACTGACAAAACTCTAGAAGCAGAGAGACTCTTGAGAAGCTTACGAGGTGACTTTGAGCCGGTCTATGTGGCTCCAGCATGCTTGTCACGGGAGGCTCTCCATCACCGGTACCAGAAGGCCCAAGCCGCAATCTGGTGGGTGAATTCCAAAAACTCCGAGTCCTATTCGAAAGATCCTTGGAAGGTAGAGAGGGAAGGGTGAGGGAAAGAGATACCGGAAATATGTCCGACCAAGGTTTTCTCCCAAGAGTCTCCTCCAAGTCCCTGAATCGACAGGTACGTAGCTACGAATTTAACTGATAAAAATATTGAATGACAATAACCATGACATAATGCGTCGTTCAGGCAAAGCTTATCCATGACAAGACGGACGACGTAATTCTCTTGAATTGCTCGGGGAAGTTGCATCTTGCCTGTAGATACACTTTGCATTTCGGTTTTCAGGAGAAGTGGAAGCCGACACTCTAACTAGCAGGCTCATTTTCCATCCCCAAATTGAGGGGGGTCCATTTCATTATCTCACTCCTAATCTGGCGGAGTTCTTTTAAGAATGATATCTCAGTCTTCATCTGACCTTCTTCCAAAAACACCCATGCGTGTTTATCCTTTTGGCACCGATAATTGAAAAGAATCCACGGACTGGGAGGCATTCCTTACGTGGAAGTGCGGTATGTGAACTTAATGGGAATTCGTCCCATGCCTGTTTCTTCGCGTTTTGTTTATCGATTGATAAAAAGGCGATGAATCTTTCCATGGGCAAAATGGGTGAATGTAAAAGAAGGTACGACGTCGTATCCAGATCTCAATATCTACTTCTTAACGTGCAACGGCACCTCTTGCGCTTTGTCAACCGCGCCGTTGCCCCTGGTACGCCGCCTCCGCCTACAGCTACCTCACCGGCCACCCCTGCGTCCTCCTCACGGTCTCCGGCCCGGGCTGCGTCCACGGCCTCGCCGGGGCGATGGCGTGGTTGGCGAAGGAGGTCATGGGGATGCCCATGACGCCGAACATCCGGTCCACGCCAAACCGGTCCAGGGACTTCACGGCGAGGGCGTTGCCTTTGATCCGGGTCGGGGCTCCGGTCAGGTTCGGGCTCGGGTCCGCCATGGGAAGTGGGAGGTACTCGAGGTGGGTGGGGTGGGTGGGTGGTGACTCGTGATGTCAGCGAGTAAAAAAGACTGCGTGATGTGAAGTTCATTTTGGTTGATGTGAGCAAAGACGAGGTTGAGTTGAGGAAGCCGGACTTGGATTTGGTAGGGTGATGCTAAGAGGGTGTTGGAATTGATCAACAAGGAGATCAAGGATGACCCGTTTTGCTTGGGGAGGTCTCATCCGTGGGTCGAGGCGATTTCTAAGAAGACAAAGGAGAAGGTATCGAGGATGGAGGCTCAATTGGCGAAGGAAGTCGTGCCCTTTAATTTCTTGACCCCGATGAAGATCACAAGGGATGCGATTTTGGGACAGCGGAGTCCGGCGCCAATATTGGTTTCTGAAGGGGCAAATACAATGGACATTGGGAGGGCAGTGTTAGTTCAGACCGAGCCAAGGACTCGATTGGGTGCCGGGACGTGGGGGACCATGGGAGTTGGGTTGGGTTATTGCATTGCAGCTGCTGTGGGTGGTCGCTGTTGAAGGTGATTATGGGTTTGGGTTCAATGCGATGGAAGTTGAGACTTTAGTTCGATATCGGTTACTAGTAGTTGTGATTGTTTTCAACAATGGTAATAGTCCCACAAAATCTCACATGGAATCAGAGCTGGAGGTTCTGAGTTTAAATCTTTTCGGGCTCCATTTACCTCCTCAATTAAATATGTCAACGCTTAGTATTAGGCAAAAAAAGACCAGACTAAGCACGAGGGAGAGTGCTAGAATAATTAAATATTAAACCACTTTTCATCTAACAGCTTGATGAAGACGTAGTTTAATATTTAATTATTCTAGCAATTTCAAACCCATGATTGTATAGCCTAAGACACCCGTAATATCACGCTATGGAGTTCGTCGGCCAGCAAAGATATAGCATCAAGGGTTTGGCATGATAATTTATATAGATTTGCCTTAAACATTATGAACAAAATGTTTTAAATAAATAAAAGTTGCATCAAATGCCTTTCGGCTACGTTACTCTCATCGTCCTGAATAGTTTGATAATTGTGTGATGGTATTAGATATAGTTTTCCCAAGTTAATCATCGGTATTCACGGAATCATAATGTATTCAAAGAATACACTTTCTCTATCTCATATATCATGTTAATTTACAAATATCGATACACATATGTGGATTGACTTGCTATTCTTAACTCTTGGGTTCACGACAACACATGAACTAAAAATTTTGAGTTCGATACTTCAATCTTTACTAATGTTGCTTAAGTATCCGATGGAGCCAGAAATGTGAATAATTAAATCAAAATTTATTCCTCCATATGTTTCGGACCATGAAGCGGTTAAATCAAAGGCATCGGGCAATCCTTAAGTTGGATCTTAGTCCGTATCTTCCCCAAATTCGAAAATATCTGTTCACCCGCAAGAAAAAGAAAAAGGTTCGAAATAGCATTCGTCTGGGCTGAATTGAAAGCAAACTTTGATTGATTCAGGGGTCAAATTAAGACATCATTGAATTCAAGGGACAAATTCAAATGTTCCGCCCATTTCGAGGACATATTGGCAATATTTTCTCCCCCAATGCAATGGTAAGTTAAGACAGCCCGCTTCGCTCCCTTTCAAAAAGAATCAACTTCCCGCCCTTTTTGCTGCTCTCATTTTCGTCTTGCAATCTCTCCGGATTTCTTCGTCCGATTCTCTCCGATCTCCTCAAATCTCGGTAGGAGAAAATCTCATCATTTCCTTCCAAAAATCGCTCTCTTCCATGGCCGATTCCTGACGGTCTCGTCCCTCTCTCACTCCTGTTGCTCCAGCTAGGGCTTTCGTTCTGCTCCTTTCCCCTCCCCGAAGAGCAGAATCGAACGCCGCCATGCACATCAAGGAGATCTGTCTGGAGGGCTTCAAGTCCTACGCGACCCGGACCATCGTCCCGGGCTTCGACCCCTTCTTCAACGCCATCACCGGGCTCAACGGCTCCGGCAAGTCCAACATCCTCGACTCCATCTGCTTCGTGCTCGGCATCACCAACCTGCAGCAGGTCCGGGCCGCGAACCTGCAGGAGCTCGTCTACAAGCAAGGCCAGGCCGGGATCACCAAGGCCACGGTCTCCGTCGTGTTCGATAACTCGGATCGGGGCCGGAGCCCGCTGGGATACGAGGACCACTCCGAGATCACCGTGACGCGGCAGGTGCGTGATGGTCGTGGAAATTTGGTTTTGTTCGGGAAGCACTTCAAATTACTAATCCTTGCCTCCGGTTATCAGCTTAGGCATTTAGATGGAGTGGCAGTGGCTTCCACATAATTATGCAGTGTATAAAACCATTCGGGGATCTAAATTAATCACTTAGCTGAAATTCAGGAGTGAGATGCCGAAACTGGGTTACCGGCGTGGGAACTTCATTGGTTTTGACTGAAGATATGAGTCATTGTCTCAAAATGGGGGAAAACTAAAGTGTGAGTTGCAGTGGGGAGTTTAGTGGCGAATTAGATGGTGTCAAGTCTAGTTTTGTCTATTATCTGGTTGTTCTTTCAATTTTGAGTGACCTATTTTGATCAAGAAAACAAAAAGAAAAGCACCAGTCAATACATCATGCTGACCCTTTTTGCTTTCGTTGACAATTTCTGAGAAATTTGATATTGAAGTGTGCCCCTTCCCGTGCATATTGTTAAGATGAGTGAGTATCTACAGGATGTTTGAGCATATAAGTTATCCTGTTCTGCAGATCGTTGTCGGTGGAAGGAATAAATACCTCATAAATGGAAAGCTTGCCCAACCTAGTCAGGTCCAGAACCTCTTTCACTCAGTACAGCTCAATGTTAACAACCCACACTTCCTCATTATGCAAGGGCGCATCACTAAGGTACTAAATATGAAGCCTCCTGAGATTTTGTCCATGCTTGAGGAGGCAGCAGGTACCAGAATGTACGAGACAAAGAAAGAGGCTGCGCTAAAAACGCTGGAGAAGAAGCAGATCAAGGTTGATGAGATAAATAAGCTACTTGACCAAGAAATTTTGCCTGCCTTGGAGAAGTTAAGGAAAGAACGTATGCAGTACATGCAATGGGCAAATGGCAATGCAGAGTTAGATCGACTTAAGAGGTTCTGCATTGCTTATGATTACGTTCAAGCTGAGAAGATAAGGGAAAATGCGGTCTCCGGTGTCGAACAGATAAAGGCCAAAATCTCCGAGCTAGATGAAAATAAAGTGAAGATGCAAGTGGAATCACAGGAATTGGAGAAGAAGATATCTGATTTAACTGCACAGAAGGAAGCCAGTATGGGAGGGAACGTAAAGACGATGTCAGACAAAGTAGATGCTCTTGCTCGAGATCTCGTGAGGGAAGTGTCCATTCTCAATAACAAAAATGACACCCTTCAGACTGAGAAAAAGAATTCTGATAAGGTATATCGGTTGTTAATGCAAAGTCTTTATTTTTTCTAGTTGCCATTTTGTAGCTGTGCCTACTTGCAAAAATGAGCTTTTTTTCATATTATTGGTTAGCGATTTTTACTATTTACTTCCTGATGTACTAGATTCTTAGCAAAATAGAAGATCTAAAGCATTCTGTGGAAGAGAGTGCCTCTGCTGTCAAAAGAGCTGAAGAAGGGACAGTCGGTCTTAGGAGCAAATACGAGGAACTCTTGAAGAATTTGGATGAGAAAGAAAGTGATTACCAGGTAATTAGTTGGTAATTCTTTTTTCTGGATGCCTACATGCACGTGGATGTCCCTTCTCTGCAATCATAAACCATGATGTACAAGTGCGATTACCATGAATAGGGCATCCTTGCTGGAAAGAGCAGTGGAAATGAGGAAAAGTGCCTTGAGGACCAGCTAGGTGATGCTAAAATAGCAGTTGGAAGGGCGGATACAGAATTGAAGCAGTTGAAAACAAAGATAGCCCACTGGGAAAAAGAGCTGAAGGAGAAAAGGAAGGAACTATTGTCAAAGCATGAGGAAGCTGTTGCTGTGGAGAATGAACTTAATAGTAGAATAAGAGATGTTGAAATTGTTCAAAAGGCTTTAGAATCTGTTCCTTATAAGGAGGGGGAGATGGAAGCGCTTCAAAAGGTCTGTGAATTTTCTTACTAGTTCTGTGTCTTCCTTCCATATCGTCTTGAAATGTCTCCTCAAATGATTTCCAGGATCGTGCGCTGGAGTTGGAGGTGGTGCAAAAGTTGAAAGAAGACATAGGGATTCTTTCAGCACGGTTAGCAAATGTTAATTTTACATATCGTGATCCCATCAAGAATTTCGATCGATCAAAAGTGAAAGGTGTGGTTGCAAGACTATTCAAAGTGAAGGATAGCTCAACAATGACTGCCTTAGAGGTGGGAGCTGTATAATAGTATAGTGGCATCTTCTTCTGAAGTTCTCGTTTTTACATAAGGGACCAATCAATTCACATGTCGGAATGTTTGCAGGCCGCAGCTGGCGGAAAGTTGTATAGTGTTGTCGTTGATACGGAAAATACAGGAAAACAACTGCTACAAAATGGAAATCTTCAAAGAAGAGTAACTTTCATACCGTTAAATAAAATCCAGCCAAATGTTGTGTCGCCTAGTGTTCAGCATGCTGCTGCCAGAGTGGTCAGTCACTGTTTGAGCTAATTTATGCAATACAAGCTTATCTATGAAGGTATTTATGTCTGTCTTTAGGTCATTAACGAAGACAAATTCTACATTTTCAGGTTGGCAAGGAGAATGCAGAACTGGCACTGTCATTAGTTGATTATGACAAGGAATTGAAGGTGCTTACGCACATGCTCGTTATAGACTGTCAATTTCATCAATAAGTTTGATATGTCTGTTGTTATCAAGAGGTTTCATTTGTGGCACTTCATCAGTTGTCTTAAGGTCGTTGATTTTTATTGCAGAGCGCAATGGAATATGTCTTTGGATCAAGTTTTGTCTGCAAAACGATAGATGCTGCAAAAGAGGTATATTATGGCAACCCAATTTCAAAGGCACAATGAACTCGATTATTTATTGAAGCCTCATTGAGTTGTTACTGTCCTTTCATGTAAGTTTCTAGATCATAATTTCTAAAGGCAGGCATCATTCTTTTTAAAATATGTTTTCTAGATGTACTCTGACTATGGTTCAAGTAGAAGAGATATACTTTAGGAGACGTTAGGTGGTTCATAAAATGGACCCCCAATTTGTTCATCAAATATCTACTGACTCTAATGAATATAGAAAGATGATGTCAAATTCTTTTTTGACTTTTTTGTCTATTGGTCTTCCCTTTCTGTGTAAGTGACTTGAGGTGCTCATAAGTTTGTGATACAGCTTCACATATCCTACCTGAATAGGCATAAGTGAACTAAGAAAATGTTGTCCTGCTAGAATTTCATCTTCTTTACTTGGTAGTCAGTAGACTGTACTTCCCTGCAAGAAACATTGGTTTAGGTTCTTAACCTGATTTAATTCCTGAAACATTTTACGATCTGATAATTGTCATCAGTAATTCTATTATTCTGTTGTAGGATATTCGGAATATGATCTTTACATGTTGCGTTCTTCACAGGTAACTTTCAATAAGGAGATTCATACTCCAAGTGTCACTCTCGAAGGTGATATATATCAGCCAGGCGGTCTTTTAACCGGTGGAAGCCGCAAGTAACTTCCTAGTCTGCTTATTTTCGTTATTTATTGTGCATGGATGCTGTTTCTGTTACAATGCGTCAAACGTGCAGTGTTATTCTTTTTGGAAGAGAGTTGCCACATGCTAAATATCATTGCGTGGTGCAGGGGTGGAGGTGACTTGTTGAGGCATGTTCGTGATTTGGCAGAGGCTGAGTCAAAACTTGCTATACATCAGAATAGGCTATCGGCGATCGAAGCCAAGGTAGACCTCGAATACCTATTTTGCATTTCTACATGACGCTAGCAGAAAATTACTTTGTGTAGCATTTTTAATTGTTAACGGTCTGCTATGTTAGCTCAAAACCGACGTTGGAATAAGTGCAAGAGATTATTTTTGGGATTCTGAAACCCCTATAGTGGTTCACCTTGTCCTCGAACTAGTAAAATCTAGTAAAAATGTGAGAAACGTCACAAAAGCTGCAGTAAATATGGAACTATTTTACTGGAGCAGATCTTGTCTTGCTGATTCAATACGTACCATTCTGCTTTGTTCTTTTTATGGCTTTTAGTTGTGCATGTAACCCAAATTATATTATCTTATGGTCCCGGGTTTTAGCTTTTCTCATTATCTAACATTTACTACAGATTTCTGAGTTGTCGCCCCTTCAAAAGAAGTTCTTGGATCTCAAATCACAGTTAGAGCTGAAGTCCTATGACCTTTCTTTGTTTAAGAGTAGGGCTGAGCAGAATCAGCATCATAAGGTTCTTTTCTCTGCTTTCCATGGAAATAATATTGTTATTTGAAATATGAAACCTATATTTCTAATGTTGGAAACTGTGATTGTTATGCACATTGTAGCTTGGCGAATTAGTGAAGAAGATTGAGCAGGAACTTGAAGAATCAAAGTCTGCGGTCAAAGAAAAGCAAATATTGTATGAGAACTGTGTCGCTGCAGTGTCGTCGCTTGAGAAATCTATTAAAGAGCATTCAAATAATCGGGAAGGCCGGCTTAAGGAGTTGCAAAATAGTATCAATGCAATAAAAACCCAGATGCAATCGGTGTCAAAGGATTTAAAGGTGGGCTTTATTCTTTTGACTTCACAATGTGGATTCACGCAATTCTAGGCATGCGCTTACCTGTGACAGCTCGGTATTCTATCATTTATGAGAGAAAACATTCGTATAATCGATTGTTTCTAGATGGCATAGGATTTTGTGTGCAATTGGATGAGATAATGCGACAATGAAAGTATCAACAGTTAGATCAATAATATGGACTCTTCTGGTTCCTCCGAGTTTGGTGATTGAATGCTTCCTCTTTGACCATGCCTGTTAATAGGGGCATGAAAATGAAAAGGAGAGGCTCATCATGAAAATGGAAGCAGTTGTACAGGAACGTGCTTCTTTGGAGGGTGAACTAGCTTCTTTACAAAGTCAAATCAATGCTATAGCTTCTGATGTAGAGGAACAGAAATCCAAGGTAACAAAAGAATACTTTCTGGAAAATCTATAGCTGTTTAGAATGGCAACTTATATCTTCTTCTGCAGGTTGCTTCTATAAGGAAGACTCATGAACAGGCCGAGGTGGAGCTCAATCAAATCCGACAGAAGCTGAAGGAATGTGATACCCAGATAAGTTGCTTTGTTAAGGAGCAGCAAAAGCTTCAAGCTGCACTTAGCGAGACAAATCTTGAGAAGAAGAAGATGGAAAATGAGGTAAAGTGCAAACGGCTTCTCTTGGAGTAAAAATTAACCACTGTGGATACTAAAGAGTCTGCCTTTCACTCCCTCTATCAGGTAAAGCGTATGGAAATGGAACAGAAAGATTGTTCTCTGAAGGTCGAAAAAATGATTGAGAAGCACGCCTGGATTGCTTCTGAGAGGCAGCTTTTTGGAAGAAGTGGAACTGATTATGATTTTGCTTCTCGTGATCCATACAAAGCAAGCGAGGAACTGGAAAAATTACAATCTGTGCAATCTGGGTAAGTTTATTCAGTTTGTACGCTTGATCAAGTTTTTCTATTCTTTGCAATTGCATTTCTTTTCTTCATCAGGAACATTAGTGTTTCTTGTTTACTCTGAGTTAAAAAATTGATTGCATATGCATCTTTCTGTATTTGAAGGCTTGAGAAAAGAGTAAACAAGAAAGTTATGGCAATGTTTGAGAAAGCAGAAGATGAATATAATGGGTTGATGTCCAAGAAAAACATTATTGAGGTCAGTTGCTGTCTGTCTGCCTGATTATGCTTTTGTTTTGGATTTCTTCTTACTCTAATATGTTTTAGCTGGCGTTGGCAGAATGACAAATCAAAGATAAAGAAGGTTATTGAAGAACTAGATGAGAAGAAGAAGGAAACACTAAATGTTACTTGGGTTAAGGTTAACAAGTAAGTTATTTCGCGCTACTTGTGTGCTTTCTATGGGTTTATGGCTTAAGATACATCTAATTCTCTTAGCGTTCCTGATTTTTTGTCAACATTTTCTTCTCAGTGACTTTGGATCAATATTTTCTACCCTGTTACCTGGCACATCAGCAAAACTTGAGCCTCCAGAAGGATGCAGCTTCTTAGATGGGCTTGAGGTTCGTGTTGCATTTGGAGGCGTCTGGAAGCAGTCCCTATCAGAACTGAGTGGAGGGCAGCGATCTCTACTTGCTCTTTCTCTAATCCTTGCACTGCTTCTCTTCAAACCAGCACCTTTGTATATACTAGATGAGGTATGGTTTTTTTGTTATAAGACGTGATTTCATATGCATTTGGTCTCTTTTTTGTTGATGATCTGCAAATGGTTATACCTGACAGGTTGATGCAGCACTTGATTTAAGTCACACGCAGAACATTGGAAGGATGATTAAAACTCACTTTCCTCATTCCCAGGTACAAAAACTTCTTGGCAGGAGACAAGCATAACGTGCATGCAAATCATGAGGATAACCTGAATGCTCATTATAGGTGGCTTAGATGATATGGGGAGTTGGAGGTTCAGTCTGGTGCCTAGGCGAAAATGTGAAGATAATTGCATTGACAAATTTTATTTGCATCTTTTATACATGAACATAGCCGTAACTGTTAATATTTATAGAATAACAGCGCATGTCTCACTTACTATACAATTACTCCTCTAAGTGAAACTTACGTATATGCCGAGAGATTCAGAATTGGTCGTGGGAGGGGTGTATGGTGTGCACATTAAGGATGTGTTTGTTTTGGTGAAAGTGTTTTCTCGAAAAGTATTTTCTGGACTTTCATCCATTTGGTTATCTGAAAATAATTTGATCAACGGAAAATACTTTCCGGTCAATACAAATATCACGTTTACTTTTAGGAAAGTCAATTCCCTTGTCTAAGAAGATGAAAACACTTTCTGGAATTGTTTATCTGGAATTTGTTAATATTTTTTTCTTTTCTTTTCTGTTTATTTTTCTTTTTCTTTTCTTTCTGAGATGGAAAACATTCATTTATTTTCTTTTCTTAATAAAAATAATTTTAAAATAACAAATAATTTGAAATAATTTAAAAAATACAAAAAAATTTGATAATTTTCACTATTAGATTTTCCTCACCAAACAACTGAAAATACTTTCCGAGTTTTTTTTAGGTTTTAGCCAAACACCGAAAAATGAACTCATTTTCCTAAAAAATGATTTTCGGGAAAACATTTTCCAGAAACGGTACGTTTTCTATGAAACAAACGCACCCTAAATTTGTTTGTCAAGATCAATGATTGAAGTCGGGCAACTTGAATTCTTTTGATATGGTAAATATGGATAAAAAGTTTAGATTGTAAATGGAACCGAGTTTCGGTTCAATTGTGAAAATAACAGAACACTTTGCAGAATTATATGGGCATAGTAAATAGTGTTTATCTATTCCCAAATCAAGCCTCTTTCTATTAAGGCAGGTCCGCTACATGGGCTTTTGTCCAGTAAGACAAATAAATGGAAATAAAACTTTTTTGCAGAGCACAATGTACTTTTGACAATTAATCGATCTCATATTGTAGCAGATATCATTGCCACCGCTGTTTACTCCAGTCTCTGCAACCTGTCTTGATTTTGGTTTTACTATCTTGCAGTTTATCGTTGTTTCTTTGAAGGAAGGGATGTTCAATAATGCTAACGTTCTGTTCCGCACGAAGTTTGTCGACGGTGTTTCCACTGTCCAGCGCACAGTTGCATCCAAGCAGAGCAAGTGATCCCAATTTCATGGAAGTAGAAAGCTGCAGAATTGTATGTCTTCACGGTACAAGTTAGCAGTCAGTAAATTGGAAACATTTAATCGAAGAGATATTTCAACTTGCCTTTTTTGTCTGACAGTAACATCCAGAAGCATGAGCTGAGTCAATGTTTCATTGGCACAGATGCCTTTAATGTAGTTTAAAGCATGTCTTTTTCCCCAACCCTCGGTGATCAAGAGTTAGCAGATCGTATTGCTTTATCTTTAACATCGGTGCAATATTTAGAAGAATTTGTTATGTTCACTTCGGAGTCTAGAATTTCTGGAATGGAGATAATCAGGATCAAGGGTACAGTAAATTGCATAGAGAAGATCGGTGTTTTAAATGCACTGGGATGAAGGATTGCCGAGAATTTTGTTACTTGTCCCCATGAGATCAGTGTTTTTATCTTTAGCTGCAACATGTAGACATTGATACGATAACCATATGCAAAAGATTTGTACCTTGCACACAAACAATGTTCATATTTGCATTGAGAAGAGACATTGGTAGTCTCGAAAAGAATAGAAAAGAAAGAAAGAAATCACCACCAATCTTGAATCCAGCTAGTGTGGTCCGCTTTTAGGACCAAATAGGTAAATTCCTAATGCCACAAATTGGAAAACGATCTCCAGGTTCTAGAGTTGGGATTAACGCACTTTGAAACAGGTCATTTCCATGTAAAATATTGTCAATTGTTGCCTCATCCTACACGGAAAAGTTTCCATATTTTGAATTTTAGTCCCAAACGAAAAGAGAAATAGAAAAACGAAAAACGAAAACGAAGGAGATTTGTGTTATTCTGTGAACTCCGGCACACATGTCGCCCCCCTACAGGCCAATGTTCTAGAGAAGATGTGCAATCACGAGATCGAACACACTGGATTATTGCTCAAAGAGGGACGGGGATAAGATTGTCATTTTGAATTTAATTTATGAAATATTAAATATGTATAAAAAAATTTGAAAACAGCGTTGAATAAACTAAAAATTCAAAAATTCAGAAAACGTTAAATTACTGCTCAAGAGCCGGTTACGGTTGTAAACACGCCAAGCGACACCCTACTACTCCTCTCGTCCTTTGCACTTGTAGAGTCCCATCATTATATTCTCTGTCTCTCTCTCTCGACCCCTCCCCCCTCGCTTTCTCTCTCCTCCGTTGCCTGCCTTCCTCAAAATCCTCTTCTCTGAGATATCATTTCTCAAGAGCGCCCAAACGTTCGAGGTTCTGTTCGTCGTCTCCAAGAAAAGCCGCATCTTTTTGCAGGATCCAAGTTCGGTCCTAGCTCGAAGGACCAGCTGAGGGGTAAGTACAGTGCAAGTGCCATAACTTTTGTACGAAGGACACTTAAGTGCTATAACTTTTTTTTGGCTCACTTGAGTGCCATAACTTTCAAAAAAAAGATCACTTAAGTGCCACTTACGAGCTGGTCGTGAGGGCCAGAAACCGCGGCTTTTCCGGCCGAACAATGACCTTCTCGGTTAGGCGAGCACCACCAGCTTGAAGAGGGGGTGTCGGTGAATCATTCCATGGCCTCAGTTCATCTCGAAATTTCCGTTTTAGCCTCCGTTGACGAAGGTAAAAATGCTTCGTAGTCACACATTTATCGAGCCGATTTATGTGACTACGAAGCATTTTTACCTTCATTAACGGAGGTTAAAACGGAAATTTCGAGACGAACGGAGGTCATGGAATGATTCACCGACACCCCCTCTTCAAGCTGGTGGTGCTCGCCTTGCCGAGAAGGTCACCGTTTAGCTGGAAAAGCCGCGGTTTCGGGCCCTCACGACCAACCCCTCTGACAAGCTAGTCGTGAGGGCTTGAAACCGCGGCTTTTCCGGTCGAACGGTAACCTTTCCGGCCAGGCGAACACCACCAGCTTGAAGAGGGGTGTCGATGAATCATTCCATAGCCTCCGTTCGTCTCGAAATTTCCGTTTTAGCCTCCGTTGACGAAGGTAAAAATGCTTCGTAGTCACACATTTATCGAGCCGATTTGTGTGACTACGAAGCATTTTTACCTTCGTCAACGGAGGCTAAAACGGAAATTTCGAGATGAACGGAGGTCATGGAATGATTTACCGACACCCCCTCTTCAAACTAGTGATGCTCGCCTCACCGGGAAGGTCACTGTTTGGCTAGAAAAGCCGCGGTTTTGGGCCCTTACGACCAATCCCTCTGACAAGCTAGTCGTGAGGGTTGCCAATCTTCCCTTCCTGCTTCCACTGCGGAGCTTTTACGGATGCTGGAGGATGTATTGCCAGAAATTTTCTCGGATTTGGGCGCCATTTGATTTGGGAGAGAGTTTGAGAAAAAAGATTGAATCTTTTCGCTCTAGCAAACGATCGGTTTTGCAAGGGATTTGATCGAGGAAGACAGAATGACGCTTCTGTTTGGAAAAGATAATTCCGTAAAGGAAAATGCTTTGGTAAAAAACAAATAACGGGCTATTTTAAGTCATGTAGTAGCGATAAACATAACAGCACTGTACTTGATTACTTTTAAACAAATGAAATATACTAATATTTCGAAACGATGATACCGTGTCAACTAGTTTACTCGATTTAAATATTATATTCATGGAGGAGTTAGCATACGTAAATTGATGCAGTGATAGGTAACTCTTGTACCATCTCTCTCCTCCGTCGCCATTTGCTCACGCAAAAACCTCAAAGCTTCTCAGGCGGCCGGAGTTCGAGGTTCCGTTCGTCTTCGACTTTCTCTCCGTCTCTCGTTCATCCTCTTCGTCTTCCCCTTTTTTGGTTTCTTTTATGATCTCAAGTCGTTTCCATCAACTGTCGCCTAAAAATGTTCCGTCTCTTTTTGCAGTGATCCGAGTTCGTCCCTCTGGTTCCTATTGCTCTAGCGAGGGCTTTCGTTCCGTTTTATTACCCAGAGAATCGATCGCCATGCACATCAAGGAAATCTGTCTGGAGGGGTTCAAGTCCTAGGCGACGCAGACCATCGTCCTGGGTTTCAACCCCTACTTAAACGCCATCACCGGGCTGGATGGCTCCGGCAAATCCAACATCGTCGACTCCGAGATTACTGTGACGCGGCAGGTGCGTGATGGTTGTGGAAATTCGCTTATATTCAGAAGTACTTAAATTACTGTCCCTTGCCTACGGTTATCAGCTTAGGCATTTAGATGGATTGACGGTGGCTTTCACATAATCATGCAGCGTATAAGAACCTTTGGGAATCTAAATTAATCATTTAGATGAAATTCAGGAGTGAGATATCTTGTTACATTGAAACTGGGTTACTGGCATGGGAACTTCATTGGTTTGACTGAAGATTCGAGCCATTGTCTCAAAATGGGAAAACTAAACTGCGAGTTGCATTGGGGAATTAGTGGACTGTCAGATTCTGTTGAGTTTAGTTTTGATATGTTATCCGGTTGCTCTTTCTATGTCGAGTGAGCTATTTTGATCAAGAAAACAAAAGAAAAGGATCAGTCAATACGTCATGCTGACCCATTTTGCTTTTATTGACAATCTTTGAGCAATTTGATATCGAAGAGTGTCCCTTCCTGTACCTATACTTAAGATGAGTATCTATAAGATGTTTGAGCATGCAAGTTATCCTGTTCGGCAGATCTTTGTCGGTGGAAGGAATGAATATCTGATAAATGGAAAGCTTGCCCAATCTAGTCAGGTCGAGAACCTCTTCCACTCTAAAGCATTCTGTGGAAGAGAGTGTCTCTGCTGTCAAAAGTCCTGAAGAAGGGGCAGTCAGTCTTACGATCCAATATGAGGAACTCTTGAAGAATTTGGATGAGAAAGAAAGTGATTACCAGGTAATTTATTGGTAATTCTTATTTTTGTATGCCTACCTGCATGTGGATGTCCACCCTCTGCAATCATCAACCGTGATTTACCATGTATGATTACCACGAATAGGGAATCCTTGCTGGAAAGAGCAGTGCTAATGAGGAAGAGTGCCTTGAGGACCAGCTAGGTGATGCTAAAACAGCAGTTGGAAGTGATGAAACAGAACTGAAGCAGTTGAAAACAAAGATAGCCCGTTGTGAAAAAGAGCAGAAGGATAAAAGGAAGGAACTATTGTCAAAGCATGAGGAAGCTATTCCTGTAGATAACGAACTTAATAGTAGAAGAAGAGATGTTGAAGATGTTCAAAAACCGTTAGAATCTGTGCCTTATAATTCTGTGTCTTCCTTCAATATGATCTTGAAATGCGTCTCCTCAATTTTTTTCTTCTTTTGATGGTCAATGACTTTTAGGTTCATGTGCTGGAGTTGGAGGTGGTGCAAAAGTTGAAAGTAAGAGGTATGGATTCTTTCAGCACAATTATCAAATGTTAATTTTACATATCGTGATCCCATCAAGAATTTCGATGAATCAAAAGTGGATGGTGTGGTTGCAAGACTACTCAAAGTGAAGGATAGCTCAACAATGCTGTATAGTATTACAATGGTATCTTCTTCCGAAGTTCTCATTTTTACATAACGTAGCAATAAATTCACATGTCGGAATGTTTACAGGCTGCAACTGTCGGAAAGTTGTATAATCTTGTCGTTGATACGGAAAATACTTGAGAACAACGCTACAAAATGGAAACCTACAAAGAAGAGAGTAAGTTTCATGCCTTTAAATAAAATCCATTCCAATGTGGTGTCGCCTAGAGTTCAGCATGCTGCTGCCAGAGAGGTCAGTGACCGTTTGAGCTAATTTATGCAAAACAAGCTCATCTATCAAGGTATTGGTCATAAACGAAGATAAATTCTGCATTTTCAGGCAGGAAAGGAGAATACAGAACTGGCACTTATTTATTTTTAGTTGATTATGACGAGGAAGTGAAGGTTCTAATGTACAACTACTTTTTGTTACAATGCGTAAAATATGGAGCGTTATTCTTTTTTGAAAAGTCCCGCCACATGCTAGATAGCAATTGTGTAAATATCAATTGTGTGATGCGGGAGATCATCTGTTTGAGGCAATGGTGGAGGCCGAGTCAAAAGACTATTTGCGATCGAAGCCGGTAGACCTTGAACACCGCTTTTGCATTTCTACGTTGGGTAGTAGAGGGTATCATAGGGTTCGTAATTTTAGGGCAAAATCAAGATTTGGTTTTTATCTCATATACATGTTGATGCTTGTTCTAAACGTTAATTTCATTAATGAGTTTAATCTGTCAGTTGTTATCAAGAGAGTTTTTATTGTGGCACTTCATCGGCTGCCTTAAGGCATTGATTTTTATTGCAAATCGAAATGAAATATGTTTTTTGATCGATTTTTTTTCTGCAAAACATATATGCTGCAAAATTCATTGTGCCTTTCAAGTTGGATTGCCATGATATACTTCTTTTGCGGTATCCATGTTTTGCAGATGAAAGTAGATCCAAAAATATATTCTATTGTGCTCTGCAATAAAGATTAGTGTCTTAAGACATATGATGAAGTTCCACAATGAAAATTCTCTTGATAACAACTAACGGATCAAACTCATTAATGAAATTAACGGTCTAGAACGAGCATGTACATGAAATAAAAACTAAACCTTGGTTTTGCCCTAAAATTACTAACCCTTGTTTGCTACCCTATGTAGAAACGCAAAAGTGGTATTCAAGGTTTACCTACTTTGATCGCAAATAGTGTATTATGATTTATGACAACTCTGCCAAATCATGAAGTTGCCTCAACAGATGACCCATCCTGCATCAATTGATAATTTGATATTTAGCATGTGCTGGGCTCTTAAAGAGAGATTAACTTCTCACATTTGACGCATTGTAACAAAAAGAATCAACGCGATAGCTTTTGAAGTAGAGGAAAAGAAATCCAAGTAACTACAAGAGTACTTACTGGAAAATCTACAGCTATTTGCAATGGACTTATCTTCTTCTCCAGGTTGCTTAAATAAGGAAGACTCGTGAACAGGCCGAGGTGGAGCTCAATCAAATCTCACGGACGATGAAGGAATGTGATACCCAAATAATTTTGTTAAGTAGCAGCAAAAACTACATGCACTTTGTGAGACAAATCTTGAGAAAAGGGAAAATGGAAAATGAAGTAATTTGCCTATAGCTTCTCTTGGGCTTTGTACTCTTCATAAAGTTTTCTTCAGAAACTAAACGATACATATGCAATCAATTGTTGAACTCAGAGTTTACGAGAATTCCTAACGTTTCTGATTAAAAAAAGAAATGGCATTGCAAAGGATAGAAAAACTTTATCAGAAACGTTAGGAATTTCTTTGCAATGGCATTTCTTTTCTTTGCAATGGCATTCCTATCCTTTGCAATGGCAATCCTAAACATTAGGAATTCTCGTAAACTCTGAGTTCAACAATTGATTGCATATGTATCGTTTAGTTTCTGAAGGCTCGGCAAAAGAGTAAACAAGAAAGTTATGGCAATGTTTGAGAAAGCAGAAGATGAATATATTGGGCTGATGTCCAAGAAAAACATTATTGAGGTTTGTTGCTGTCTATCTGCCAGATTATGGTTTTGTTTGGATTTCTTTTTACTCTATATACTGTAGCTGGCCTTTGGCAGAATGATAAGCTGAATGAAAGACGGTTATTGAAGAACTTGATGAGAATAAGGAAACACTAAAAGTTACTGGGGTTAAGGTTCACAAGTAAGTTCTCTCATGCTACTTGTGCACTTTCTATAGTTTCATGATTCAAGATATATCTCATTCTCAAAACATTCCTGATTTTTTGTCAACATTTCCTTTAGTGTCTTTGGATCAATGTCTCCTACCTTGTTACCAGGCACAACAGCAAAGCTTGAGCCTCCAGAAGGATGCAGCTTCTTAGATGGGCTTTGAGGTTCGTGTTGCATTTGGCGGTGTCTGGAAGCAATCCCTATCAGAAGTGAGTGGAGGGCTGCAATCTCTGCTTGCACTTTCTCTAACCCTAGTCCTGCTTCTCTTCAAACCAGCTCCTTTGTACAGACTAGATGAGGTATGAATCCGGTTATTTGTCATAAGATGTGCTTTCATATGCATTTGGTCTCTTTCTTGTCGCTGATCTGCAAATGAGGATACTTAACAGGTCGATGCAGCACTTGATTTAAGTCACACGGGGAACATAGGAAGGATGTTTAAAAATCACTTTCTTAATTCCCAGGTACTGAAACTTCTTGGTAGAACTCAAGCATGACGTGCATGAGAATCATGAGAATAACCTGTAATGCTCAGTATAGCATGATATGCAATAGGTGGCTTAGATGACATGGGGTATTGCAGGCGAATATCTGAAGATAATCACTTCGACAAATGTCATTCGTACCTCTTCTACAGGGCATAGCCACAAACCTTAATATTTATAGAATAATAGTGCAGATCTCACTTACTATGTCACTGCTCAAAGTGAATTTTAAGTATTTGCTGAGTGATTCTGAATTTGTCAAATAGAAAGGGGTGTATGGCATGCGCATTAATTTTGTTTTTCAAGATCAATGATTCTCCCCGGCAACTTGAACTCTTATGATACAGTAAATAATTTGGAGGAAATAGTTGAGGTTACGAACAATAAGAGTAGATCGTAAATGGGAATTGAGTTTTGGGTCAATCATGAAAATAACAAAATATTTTGCAGAATTTTATGGGCATAGTAAATATTGTTTATATATACAAAAATATAATCTGCTACATGGGCTCTGCAACATAGCTTTTTGTCCTTTAATCCAAATAAATGGAAAGAAAACCTGTTTGCAGAGCACACTGTACTTTTGAGAGCTAATACTGCTCACATTGCAGCAGATATCATTGCCATTGCTGTTTGCTCTGATCTCTGCAATTTGTCTTGATTTTGGATTTTGTATATTGCAGTTTATTGTTGTTTAGTTGAAAGTAGGCGTGTTCTCTTCCCTACGATATTTGTGGACGGTGTTTCCACAGTCCACTGCACGGTTGCATCCAAGCAGAGCAAGTGATCTCAATTTTCATGGAAGTAGCAAGCCGCAGATTGTATGTCTTCATGATACTGAGTTTAACAGTTAGCAAAATGAAACATTCAATCGAAGAGATATTTCAACTTAGAAGTACCTCTATGTCTAACATTAACACACAGAAACATGAGCTGAGTCAATGTTTCCTTGACATAGATGCCCTTTTAAGCAATTGAAAGCATGTTTTTTTCCCCAATCCTAGGTGTTCAAGTGTTGGCAAATCTCATTGCCTTTTTATCTTCGACACCGTTGCAATTTTTACAAGAATTTGTTATGTTCGCCTTCGAGTTTGCAATTTCTGGAATGGAGAAATGTCAATCATCAGGGTCAAAGGTACGGGTGATTGCAGCGTGCTTAAACCTCACTTTCGCTTACTTGTTTATTTATTGTACCGCAGCTTCTGTTACTTGAGCTCCCAGATACTAGTTTGAAAGAGGGAGAGAGAGAGAGAGAACAAGAATTAGGGTGTGGGCATTGTTTTCGAGATCCCAGGAACATGCCACAATCCTAATTCCACATGACAGGATTTCTATGATCTGTACACGTATTTGGGCGGTGTACTTAAAGAAAAGGAGGTGGATTATACCCGTCATATATGCTTTCTAGGGCAATTTCTGATTTTGGTGACGTGATCGGCTGTCACCTCGTTCAGTGATCCTGTTTAAGCTCGTTCCGTTTATGTCTGTCCATCTTGAAGTATGACGATATGCTAATTGGATTGAGTGTCCTTCATCCTCAAAGTGCTAGCTGGTGATCTGTTTGACGTATTGTTTGGGATTTGGGATTTGCACTTCTTGCCCTAATCAAGCTACCCCATCAATAAATCATGAAAAATTAGTTATTAAGTTTCAATTTGCTTCTGAATCCAACTTGAAAACGTCGGAAGCAACATTAGTTTTGTTTTCTTTGACTGTCTTTATTTATGAGAGGAATCATAAACAAGAAAGTCTACCGTATGTGTTTTTCTATTAGTCGTCTATCTTCATCCATAATTTCTAATGCCAATGAAATGGGTTTTTGTATTTTTCTTGTCAATGAAACAAAAGTACTCATCTCTCATGCTCCGTTCGTTTGACGGAAAATATTCTTCTTTTGGAAAATATTTTTCCGGAAGTCATTTTCCTGGAAAATATTTTCCCGGAACATAATTTTCTGGTGTTCGGCGACCAATATGAAAAAGTTTCGGAAAATATTTTTCACCGGCGGCGGCGGCGGCGACCTGCTGCGGCGGCCGGCGGCGGCGACCATGGCCGGCTGCGGGCTGCGTGGTCGGCTGCGGCGGCGACCAACTGGTGACCGGCGATCAACTTCCTCTCCCACGGAAAATATTTTCCCTCCCATGGGCAATTTTGCCTTCAATTTGGAGGAAATTGATTTCCTCAAAACAATGAAGGATTTGGGGGTGGGGAAAGGAAAACATTTTCCGCTCCCGAACACCGGAAAACGCGGAAAATATTTTCCGGAAAAATATTTTTCCGCAAACGAACACAACCTAAAAGTCACAACTTTCTTATAGTTTACAATAGCTTCGACTCCTATGATTTTGGGCGTTCATTTTAACACTTTTGTTCGAGTGAACATTAAGTCGTTATTAAGATTAACTTGATCTAAGATAACATTTTTGGATCATCTCAGTTTAAAGTCGGTCCCTTAAAAATTAGAAAAGAGAAATCATACTTTAGATGTATCAAACAAAACGTGGAAATAAAAAATAGAAGATGGGAGGTTCCATCCATACAAAATTTACCGATTTGACTTGCAATCAAAAGTCAACTCCTAATTAAAAGAAAGAGCGGGCGGGAGAGAGAGAGGGGCATAGCTCACGAAAGTGAACACGTTGACCAATCGCAACGGCAATAGGAATTAAGGGAAGAGAATCATAAGATGCGTGCAGTTCTCTTTGGCTTGATTTGATTGTCAAACTCGAAATGTTAGAACTAATTAATTGATCATCAGAGTTGACTCTGCAGATTATTCTGTATAAAACCCGAATTATATAAAAATGTTTTGATTAGACTTGATTAGACTTTTGGTGTTCCTAATCATCTTTCTTTTCTTTTGCTTTTTTTTCTTTCCCTCTCCTTGGTTCTCTCTTTGAAAACGACGGT